TGGAAACTAAAGATTTCCATGAAAATCCAAGAAATTATCCAAAAAAAATTAGAATCAGTAAAATTCAGTATGACAGTTAGATATAAAATTAATATAGAAAAAAAATCCATGTTTTCCTATATATTATCAGTAATATACTAAAGAATGAAACAGATAAAAGAAAAATCTATTTACAACAATAATAAAAACACAAAGTGCCTAACAATTGTAAGATTTATATGTTGAAAACTGTAAAATAGAGAAAAAAGTCCAACAAATGCAGATATGCAGTTCTTTCTTAAATAGAAGACAACTTTTTTTGAGATATCAGTCCTCCTCAAGTTAATTTAGAAATGTAATGCAATCCTAATCATTATTTATGAAATTTAACATGCTATTCTGTTGGTCAAATGGTAGACAAAATAGCAAGTAACATGGAAAACTCCTAGAAGAAAAAATGAGGGAAACTTGTCTTTCAAAAATTAAAACAAATTTGAAAATCAAATCATAAAAGTATAGGATTTGCGCAGGCATAGGCAGAGATATTGGTTAATAAGATTGGAAGGAATCTAGAAGGAGAGGTATGCACAACAGAGTTTAGTATTGTAAAGAATGCTGGATCTTAGGCCAGGCCACACAGTAGCTGTGCATTCGTGGAGAAGTTACTTAAACTCTCTGTTCCTTAGTTTCCTTATATGCAAAAGAGGGATCATTATACTACCTACATCTAATGGTTGTTGTGAAGATTAAATGCATTAATATACAGGAAGCACTTAGAAGGGTGCCTGAAATATGGTCAGAACTATGTAAGTGTTGGCTGCCATTAATAATAAAAAAGGCAAACAAATGAGTAGGAAAATGAATTACTTTACAAATTAGGGTGAAGCTTGGCTATCCATTTTCAAAGCAATGCAGTTAGGGGTGATTGGTTATCCATTGTGAAAGAAATACATTTAGACATATGTCTTAAACCATACCCAAAAATCTAAATATAAAAGTACTAGATAAAGCTGCAGAAATATCATAAACGTGTGGTACAGAAAGCTATCTAAGTAAGATATAAAACATTAAAACCATAAAGGAAAATAATCACATATTTAAATACATTAAAATTTAAAAGGAAACTTCTGTATGCAGAAGACATAGTAACATTAATAGGCAACCTTCAGCCTGGGAATATATTTGCATTATATTAGCAAAGGATTAATATCAATATGCATCAATAGGAAAATAATGAACACTCCAATAGAAAAATGAATGATGGATATTGAAAAGCAATTTATATAAAAAGAAACACAAATGCTCAATAAACCCTACAAAATATTCAACCTCATTGGTAATCAGATAAATGTAAATTAACGTGATACATTTAAATCAATTTTCACTAATCAGATTAACAAAATTATAAAAGCTTTCTAATACCCAGTGTTAGTAAGGATATGGCAGAAGAACACAATGATACCTTATTGATGGAAGGATAAAATGACAAAATCTTTTTTGGAGAACATTTTTTTACAATTAAGATTAAAACGGCCTTTTTTGACTTTGTAATTCCATGTTTATGAACTTACTCTGAAGAATATTTTGCATGCAATGGGCCTAAAGGTCTTGGTACAAGAATGATCATGGCAGGTCTGTTGATGACAGCGAAGAAGGAAACATCCAGATACTCATTAGTAGAAGACTAGTTAAAGAGTGTATGGTAAAGCCATAATGTTGAATACTATGCAGCTATTAAAGGATGAAGTACATATGGTTTCATATAATTTATAATACATAAGTGAAAAGCTTTTCAAGGAATAAGTGAAAAAGAGTAGTTTGAGAATTATTCTATTCCTTATACATGTATGAGTGCACATATACATGCATATTGGGTTTACATATAAATATGTGAGGACATAGGAAAAATAACAAAAATAAAAGGACTAAACTCTGGGGATGGGTGGGATGGGGTGAGAGAGACAGATCACATTTTTAGTCTTTTCAATCAGGTATAGTTTTAACTTTCTATGATGAAAGTACACTCACACACATCTTGTATAATAAAGGACAATGAAACGTAATAGAAGAATAGTTACTGAAGAACTCAAAGACCAGTAGGCAGGTTGTTTTCTTGACAAATGCTCTTAATATCGAATTCCTATGACTTTAGAACATGCTTTCAATGCAAAGACATGAAGCATTTTAATTCGTTTAATATGGCTAGCAAAATCCTGAAACCAAATCTGACAAAGATAACATAGGGATAACACAACACTTACAATTCATGCTCAGAAGCACAGATAGAAGCATTTAAAATAAAGTGCTGGGAAATCCAGTTAATAATGAAGTACTGTTTCTTCTAAAAATGCAAAGCCATTTAGTACTTTGACAAATATTAATGATTTTTATAGGTTAAAAGAGACAAAGCATGTGATTGTCTACAGGTGACTTTTCCACCTATGGACCTATTTGTTTAAAAAATTTTTATTGAGCCAGGGATTATTCTAAATTCTGGTATAAAGACAAATACAAATATGATAAAGTATGAAGGAGTGTTTAGATAGGGGAAGTCCTAGATATGAACTAAATAGACAATCAAGCTTCTATCTGATAAAAATAGAAGACGGTATTCATGCTAGGGAAAACCAGGAGTATTCCCATTCAAGTTGTAAGCAATACAATCAATTATTCCCATTATTAGAGCTGTACTCAATAAGTACTAACCAATGCAATAGGCTATATAAAAGAAAGGTCATATATATTGGAAAGGAATATTATAGTACAGAATTATAATTATTTGTATGTTTATATGATTCTCTAGCTTGAAAACTGAAGATAATCAGTTGAAAAAGTATTAGGAGATAGAGATAGGCATTTGGTAAGGTGGCAAGTTACAAGAAAAATATAGAGTTTTCCTGTATACTAGAAACAGCCAGTTATCATATGTGTATAATGGAAAAGGATGTCATTGTAATAGCAAAAGTAACATAGGAGGCCCAGGCACAAATAAGAGAAGATTCACAGGACTTATAACAAGAAAATGATAAACTCTTTTTGAGAATGGAAAAGAAGTCTCAACCATATTTCTAGAGGAAAATACTCAGAAAGATGTCAGTTCTCCCTAAATTATCTTTCTATAATCTCAATGCAATCTAACAAAAAACAATAATGCAATTTGAGAAAGAATTGAAAAATAGCTCTTATTCAAAACTTTAATCTTTATTTTTGTTAAAGTCATACATAGTCATTTTAAATATGCTGAGTTCTGCTAGCTTTTAACAGCAATCTACAGCTTTGTACTTTCTAGCTTCTAATTCCCATTTCCAAAGTAAAAAATTTCCAACAGTTGAAGCAGTTTTTACTGGTATTTGCATCCATATTTTCAAATAAGCAGATTTTTCTGCTACTTAAGTTTGGTTTTTCTTTTTCAGTTTTGAATATTATCTATTGACTTCCTACTATTGAAGATAGGATTTAGTTCCCTTATTCACTCCTGGAACTCCAACCAGTCTCCCTCCTCCAACTCAAATACATACCACGCAAATGCACAGTCATTTCATCTTCTTTGGTTCTATTCATATACAATGTTAAAATTAGAATGTCTATATAAATATCATTCACAGGTGAGTCTTACAATATTCCACAATTTCCTTTCATAATGGAAATGACACACTGTTTCTTCTAAAAAAATGCAAAAGTGATTTTTAAAGACAAATATTAATACTTTTCATAGGTTAAAAGAGACAAAGCTTTTCTAGAAAAGCTAATAATTATTTCATTTTTTAAAAAGTTGCTTTGTGGCCAGGCATGGTGGCTCATGCCTGTAATCCTAGCACTTTGGGCGGCTGAGGCGGGCAGATTACCTGAGGTCAGATATTCAAGACCAGCCTGGCCAACATGGCGAAACCCTGTCTCTACTAAAAATACAAAAATTAGCTGAGCATGGTGGCACGTGCCTGTAATCTCAGCTACTTGGGAGGCTGAGGCAGGAGAATCCCTTGGAGCCAGGAGGTGGAGGCTGCAGTGAGCAGAGATTGAGCCACTACACTCCAGCCTGGGCGACAGAGTGAGACTCCATCTTGCACACAAAAAAGTTGCTTTGCTATTGATATTAATATTGTAATCACCTGGTGAGTTCTTTTTGACCCCTGTACAGATAAAACCAACTCACTGAGAAAATGGTATTGCAGTAGAGAAAGAGTTTAGTTAACAGAGCTAGTCAAGCAGAAAATGGGAATTTATTACTCAAATTAGCCTCATGGAGAACTCAGAGGCTATGGTTTGTATGGATAATTTGGTGGGCAGGGGTTCAGGGAATGAGTGCTGTTGGCTGTTTGGGGATGAAATCCTAGGAATGTGAAAGACAGTCCTTGTACACTGAGTCAGCCTTTGGGTGGGGGCTGCAGGACCGGTTGAATCATGAGTCACTGGTCCAGGTGGAGTCAGTTGGTTGCCAGAATGCAAAAGTCTGAAAATCATCTCAAAAGACTTAGGTTTTACAATAGTGATGTTATCTATAGGAGCAACTGAGGAAGTTACAAATCTTGTGACTTCTGGCCACATGACATCTGAGCAGTAAGGAGTTATAGAAAAGCAGGCTAGGGGACAATGGTTGGTTATCATTTAACTATGCCTACATTTTAGCAAAATTCAGGCCCTTCTTATAATCCTAATCTCATGGCCTTTCATTAGTCTTACAAAGGCAATTTCAGTCCCAGACAAGGAGGGGGGCAGTAGGAAGGGACTATTGCTTGGCCTACACCCAGGAATGAATGAGGACAGACAGCCTATGAGGCTAGAAGCAAGATGAATTTAGCCATGCTACATTGCTCTCAGTCATAAACTTTGCAAAGATGGTTTTAATACAATGGACATAGCTAAAAGGGAGTAGAGAATAAGAATGAAAGTGAGAAACTTGTAATACATTCAAGCACTTAAGGAAAATTTAAGAACTCTAGTTCTTGAACATATGCATTTTGAATCCATCCTTCCACTCCACAGTGGATTTGTCTCTTTCTTTTTTTTTTTTTTTGACAGACAAATAGTTTCCCTCCCCCTCCCCCTCCCCCTGTCTTCTTCATCTTCCTCTTCCACTTTTTTCCGGGCAACTTTAGGGGGACCCTTTGCACCATCAAACTTTCCTTTCGACTTATAGTGGGCAACATCTTTCTCATACTTCTCCTTCAGCTTTGCCGCCTTAGTGATGTAAGGCTGCTTTTTGCTGTCATTTAGGTTATTCCACATTTGACCCAGCTTTTTTGCCATGTCTCCAATAGAGATGCCAGGGTTTGTGGATCTGATCTTGGGGCAGAATTCTGAGCAGAACAGGAAGAAGCCAGATGGTGGCCTTTTGGGGGCATTAGGATCCTTCTTTTTCTTGCCTCCCTTAGCTGGTCCATAATCCTTCATTTCCCGATCATAGCGCACTTTATCCACCTTTGCCATTTCATCAAATTTGGATTTCTCTTTCCCGGACATTGTGTTCCACCTTTCAGAGCATTTCTTGGAAAATTCTGCTAAATTGACAGGGACCTCTGGGCTTTTCTTCTTGCGTTCTTCTCTGCACGTCTGCACAAAGAAGGCATAAGCAGATATCTTGCCCTTTGGTTTCCTGGGGTCACCTCTAGCCATCCTGATAGTATTGTTTGCTAGTCTCGGTCCTGATAGTGTTGTTTGCTAGTCTCGGATTTGTCTCTTTCTAGACTCACTGTCCTGCTGTGTTTCAGGACATTCCTTTTATTGTCTTCCTGGGAACACAACCTCTTTGTTTGATGTTGGAGCTCCCATTTGCTGGATTCCATGTCTTCCTCTCTTATGGTTTACACCCTTGTTTGTGGGGAGCACTTTATTGAGTAGATTGCAGGGAACTGTGCCACAGAACTGACCTAGGGAGGAAATGCTACTGCTTCTAGGGAGAAAGGTTTTTCTCCTAGGGAGAAAACTGCTGCTGCTTCTGCCTCTCCCAGCTCAAATCAACCATTCGAATCCTCTGGGTGATTTCCTGTGTGCTCCCATGACTGCCCTAACCAAAGCCTGGAAGCTTCTGCAGCCATCTGTGCCTGTAAGTTAAAACTGTACCTGGTATTGTGTTTTAAAATTAATCTGTTAGACGTGTTTCTTTAAATACATCTTCATAAGCTATGTTTTTAAATTTTAAGAGCCGTTAATGTTAAAAATTTTTTTCTCCATTCTACTTACATGGATTGGAATAATTTGAGCTTGATCAAGTGGTACCCAAATGCATTAATTCTCATCAAGTTGGAAAGTAAAAACAACCTGTGATGACAAACTTCGTTTATAATTTTAAGTTAACATACACAGGTTTTTAAATTTTATTTTATTTTTACGATAGTCATTTGACTGAAGGAGATAGTCCTTGATGTTTCCTCTTAATAATTATCCCTGACGTTTATTATTGATGTTTCCTCAGGGATATCCTTTGTCATTGACGTTTTCTCTTAGTCATTTTCCATCCACTGATCATCCCTGTCCCCAGCGCTGCTCCATGGTTATAAATCCCCACTTGTTCTTGTTGAAGTCAGAGTTGAGTTTCCTCTCTCTTTCTCGCTGTGAGATCCTATTACAGTGGTCCCTATACCTACTGCTAAGGCCTCCCCTGCTTTGAATAAAGTCTGCTTTACCACTTTTAACAAGTGTCATGAATAATTTTTTCTTTAACCACACTAACTTATATCACATGGTCTAATTGCAAGTTTGTAAGTCAACATTTTATAAAAATATTAAAAATAAACCTTTGTAGGGTTGAAGAAGGAAAGCTTCCCCTTCACCCTCTGAAGACTCACTGAAAATAAACTTATGAAAAGAAGATTAATAAGAGAAAAAGGCATACAAAATTTATTTAATGTGCCCTGGGGGAAATCATAGGACAGTGATTACCCTAACCCAATGAGATCCAGTTGGTTATATACTCCTCTTCATAGGGGAAATGGAGATGAGGAGTAGGGTATAGGAGTAAATGATTTGCAGGGGAAATGAATGAGTCCCAAGAACAATGGCCTTGGGCAAATTTCCTGTGAGTTCTGGAGGAAGTGGCTGCCAGGTGAGAGGCAAAACTTCATTGTGAACAAAGGTTGTCTTATGCAGATAGTCTCCCAGTTAATCTCTTGGAGTTGCTTTCCAGAATAGATGAAAAGTCTGTCTGTGTGTGGGAATGACTCTCAGCCTTCTCTGTGAGAATGACTCTTCTCCAGTGGTTAATCTTTCCTGGCTATTTGACGAGAGATTCCTAGGGGTGAGTCTTAAGACAATTGCATTTCTGTTGATTAAAAAAAAAGCTTTCTTAGTCAAATAAGGAAGTTCCAGAGATAATCCCTCCTGGTTCTTTGGGAAAGAAAGAGAATCCCAGACAGACGTTTTGGGGGAAGGTCAGGGAGAGATTGGTTCTGAGGCTTATTTCTCAGGCTTTTCAATTTTCTTTAATTCAAAGCACTCTGCATGCCAACATGCCGTATTTTTTGGTACTGCTTTTTGTGCCTCAGCAAGGCAAATAAAAAGGGTTACCTTTGTAAATCAAAAAGTATCTGAGAAAAATCTCAATCAATTTAGACATTTATTTTGCCAAGTTAAAGACGTGCCGTGACAGTCTTAGAAGGTCCTGAGTGCCATAGTTAGGGGTGTTATTTTCTGCACGCCAACACTTTCAAATATTAAAAATAAGCTTTGTCCTTAGCAAACTGACCTCTGCAGAAACTCAACTTTTTGGAGACAAGATACAAAAAAACTGTAGCTTAGATTTCTTAGAAATAGGTATGTACATAATTGCTAAATATTACTTATATATTTGTAAAGTTGTAAGAGCTGTCACAAAGAGTAAACACACTTATTTTTTACATTTATTAAAAATTAAGATTTGTTTCTACTATTTGAGTAACATTTGCTATCAAATGCTCAACTAAAGAATATCTTTAATATAGTGATGAAACTGTTTTCTGCAAGTCCATGAGTTTAAATAGTTTAAATAGATGGGTGATAATACGAATGAGACAGAGACCCATCCATCTGACACTTAGCTTTAATTTTCCAGTTGTGGATAGCAAATTCTTTTCCTGCTGGAATAAAAGCATGAAAAAAATTTTCCTAATCTCAGAATTGAGACCAAATGACTTTTATGTTAGCATCAGTCATTCTTTCTTTGGGGTAGTCTATGACAACATTGAGAAAAGGAGATTGGTTTTAAGGGTTTGGAATACAAATGAGGATGAAGAAAATTAAGGAATTATGTGATGGTAGTAGTGGCTTCAAGCACTGTACCACTTAAATTCTACAAAATTAATTAGAGAACAGAGTTGTAAGTATTTTCATGTTACTAGTTAGACCAATTTTGAATTTGAATATTATCCATTAGTAATTATTTAATTTTTATTTTTTTGCTTCAAATTTGGAACAATGTTACTTTGAAAGATGAATAAGGAAAATATAGGATTGTAGGACAAAATTTATAGACATTTCTCTGAGTTTCCTTTACCTAGTGCTAAAGGTTGAATGTTTGTTCCTTCCAAAACTTACGCTGAAATGTAATTGCCATTGCGATGGTACTGGAAGGTGGGGCCTCTAATAGGTATTTAGATTATGAGTGTTCCACCCTAATGAATGAACTAACTGTAATTGCAGTAGTGAATTTGCTCTCTTTTGCTCTCTCCTGCCCTCTTTTTGTTCTTCTGCTGTGTGATACATTTTTGTCATGTGTGTAGCAAGAAGGCAGCTCCTTGATCTTGAACTTCCAAGTCTCCAGAACTTTGAGAAATAAATTTCTGTTCACTGTATATTACCCAGTCTATGGTACTCTCTTATGGCAACACAAAACAGACTAAGAGACCTGATTATATATCCACCTTTTGGCCAAGGTGACAATGGTGGTGAGGGTCATTGGAATGGCTGAGGGGGCCACAGTTCTATAGTAAGACTTCTCATCTTGGCTGTGTCCAAGAGCCCATCACAATATAATTTGCATTTGTGAGATGATCTGAGCTTGAAATTTAAACAATTCCAGATGAGAATAGACAGCAGAGGAGGATACAGTGAGGTTGATTGTGATCCTCCTTGATGTAGGATTGGTAAACCCAGAATGGGGGAGGGGATGCTCAAGATGATCAAAATAATCATGCCGCCTCTGCCACTCGCAGGCCAAAGAACTAGTTCTGCATAATTGGGATGTATACTTCTAGGGTTATGATCTTCTCAGTCTATAACTTTTTATTTTTCTATGATCTAACAATCTCTATTTTGAGCTTCCATTCTATTTGGTGGTAGAAAATTAACAGAGTCCATTCTTCATTCTTCCAAGGACTGAGGGATGATGGGTAATTGAGTTGCACTGAAATGTCAAATGGGGAGAGTGTGGTCTCAGGACATCATCTGTCCTATGGGGAATTTGCTGTGATCTAGGAATTATCTGGTTCCTGGTTGTCATTATCCTACTGTTGCGATTTCTACTATAATGTCCACATTCCTACAATGTTTCTGGTTTTATGTAGCTTATACTGCTGTGTCCCCTAATCATGGCTGCAAGGCCCCTCCAGGTCTATCAGCCCCTCTCAGCTAAATTGCTCAGCTTTTAGGGGTAACTTTTGGATAATGTCTGTGCCACTCTGGAGCCATGGGAATCTGGGGAGTTGTCTTGAGCCTTCTCTGCCTAGAGAGATGGACATATCATGGTATTTCAGGGTATCGGTTAAAATGTTTCCAGTTGTGAATAACAAGAAACTTATCTCAAGCTACCTAAGTGAAACTAGCTTATACTGTATAAGAATTCAAGAGGTGGTCGGGCCCAGTGGCTGACGCCTATAATCCCAGCACTTTGGGAGGCTGAGGCGAGTGTATCACCTGAGATCAGGAGTTCGAGACTAGCTTGGCCAACATGATGAAACCCTGTCACTATTAAAAATACAAAAATTAGCCATTCCTGGTGGTGCATGCCTGTAATCTCAGTGACTCAGGCAGCTGAGGCAGGAGAATTGCTTCAACCTGGGAGGCAGAGGTTTCAGTGACCCGAGATTGCACCACTGTACTCCAGCCTGGGCAACAGAGCAAGTCTTGGCCTCAAAAATAAATAAATAAGAATTCAAGGGGTAAGGTGGGTTTCAGACTGTATTGATCCAACAGTTCAATAATGCAATTAAATACCCAGATTCTCTGTGTTTCTCTACACTGCCTCTGTACTGCCACCTTTGTTCTTAAGAAGACTCCTGTCTTGGTTGTATGATAGCTGTAAGCAGAAAATAGGGATTTCTCTTTTATATCTAGTTGGTTTCTTATGATTCATACTTAAGAATGAAGAGTGTTCCCAGAAGTTTCTTGTAAACCCCCCTTCATGTCTCATTGGCATAACTAGGTTGGATGACCATTTCTGAACCAATTCTTAGAAAGATAAATGGGATTACTCTTAGATAAAAATCAGGCTGAACCCTGAAGCTGAGGTCACTCTGTCACTCATTGTCTTTTGTGGTACTTGGCTATGTAGTGGAGAGATGAATATCTGGACAAAATTTAAAATGTGTTAGGACGAGAACAAGGAGAAAGGATATTCTCTGGGCAGTACTATTGATCAGAATTTAGTTAGGAAAACAAACCGCTCTAGGCATTTCAAGCAGATTGGATTTTAATAAAGGGAGTTAACTGAAAAAATTTTTGGAAGGGATAAAATAGACAAAAGGAAGGGGATAAAGTTATGTTAGTCAGTGCTTAGGAACTTCAGGAAGATGCTACTGCTGCTGCAGGAAACCACAACTGCTCATCTCTCGTTCCTCTGAAACTGTGCTTGTTTGTTCCTGTAGTTCTGCAGTAGGAGGAACAGGAACTGTAGTGCAGTTCAGTAGAGTGCAGGACCTAGGGCACTGTGCTCCCAAGCTAAAGCCAGGAGAAGATGTGCCTCTGCCTTCCTTCTTCCCTTTCATTTTTTAATAAGCAGATTTATTGAGATATAATTTATGTACCATACAATCCCATCATTTAAAGTATATAATTCAATGCCGTTAGTATATTCATAGAGCTCAGAATCTATCACCACAATAAATTTTAGAACATTTCATTACCTGACATCACCCCTCAATCCCAGTCCCCTTATACCTCACTCTCTGGCCCTGGGTAATCAGTAATCTGCTTTTCGTCTCTATAGATTTTCTTAATCTGGACATTTTATATAAATAGAATCTTACAATAAGTGGTCATTTGTAATGGATACTTTCACTTAACATAATGTTCTCAGTGCTATTGTTCATTCATTCTTATTGTAATATGTGTTCATATTTCATGTGGTCTGATTACCAAATATATTCCATAGTATCAATATAGCACATTTTATGCGTCCATTTATTAGTTAATGAACATTTGGGTTATTTCTACTTATTGGCTATTGTAAATAATGTCGCTATGACCATTTGCGTACAAGGTTTTGTGTGGAATTATATATGTTGAGTATTTACTTTGGAGTGGAATTGCTGGTTCATATGGTAACTCTAAACTTTTGAGGAATTGCTATATAGATTTCCAAAGCAGCTGCCCCATTTATATTCCCACCAGCAATATATGAAGGTTCCAATTTCTCCACATTGTCACTGACAGTTGTTATCTGTTTTTGTTTTTGTTTTTTTAAATTTATTATTGCCTTCTTACTGGCCATGAAGTGATATTCCATTGTGTTTTTGATTTGCATTTCCCTAATGTTTAATAATGTTGAACATTTTTTCTTGTGCTTATTAGCCATTAGTGTATCTTTTTTGGAGAAATGTCTGTTCAGATGCTTTACCTAGTTTTTAATTGGATCATTTGTCTTTTTACTACTGAGCTATAATTGTTCTTTGTGTGCTCTAGACACAAGCACCTTGTCAGATATATGATTTGCAAATATTTTCTCTTATATCATATCTGTCTTTTCATTTTCTTAAAGCCCTTTGCTATATGAGAGTTTTTAATTTTGATGAAGCCTAATAATCCAATTTTTTTTGCTGCATGTGCTTGGGGTATCATGTCTAAAAATCCGTTGCCAAATCTGAAATTATGAAGATTTACTCTCTATGTTGTCTTCTAAGAATTTTACAGATTAGTAGGTACAATTAGGTCTTAGATCCATTTAGAGTTAATTTTTGTGTATGATGTAAGGTAGAGGTCCAACTTCATTTTTTGGATGTGGCTATCCAGTTGCCCCAGCATTTCCCTTTAATCTCGTGCAAGTCCACTGGCAAGTCTGGAACAAAAAAAGGAGATTGGAAAAAGTAGTTTCCAGACATCTAGCCCTGTGATAAAAGAGAGAGTTTACAAGGGTGGGGGCCAACCCACAGTATTTAGCACGCAACTATCATAAACATCAGGCTTCTGTGGGGGTTGCCATCTCTTGGGTTTCTAGACAGAAAGCAGGTCACATGCCTTGTTTTGTTCAAAGATTCTAAACTTATTATGGATCACTTTATCACCCCCAGATCTTGGGATGGATACAGAATGTGGGATCCCAGCTCATTCTATTTTATTTCTCTCATCTCTGTTCTTCCTTCTCCCTGGTCCAGAGAATTCTAAAATTGAGTCTAAGAAAAACTCTGGCCTGTATCTTTCCAGCTATTTCTGCCTTACATGCTTTTGTTCTCTGTCTCTTTCTTTTCTTAGATTGGATCCTTAAGTAAAACTGCCTGAAAAGGAGGGTCTTGGTAGAGATGAGGAAAATTTTGCTATTAACTAATACTTTGAAGTTTTATCCTGCCATACATGGGTGGAAATAGAGATGAGATGGGTGTGTGGTGGGGCAAATTATTATAGTACTTGCTGAAAGTAACAATAATAGCCATATTATGATAAAAAAGTAACGACAAAAAAGTTCTGCTTCTTTAAGAAATATATGCATATGAGCGTACGAGGTGTTGTCTACCTTTAAAGGTATATTGCTTTGCTTTTCTTAATTCAAAACAATTTGGAACATACCATGATAAGCTTTTAAAAGAAGGAAAGAAAATCTTCAAGGTACAAGATTATTTTAGACTGAGTATTAGACAATAGAAAACATCCCTTTGCCTGACAGATTGGGAAGATGGGTTCATGAAGGTTACATAGTATGTCAGAGACAGGAATAAGATTTAGGTGAAGGAAGAGGGATTCTTGGGGGATGATAAATAATTATGGATAAGAAGCTAAAATTAATATATAAGCAGGACATTCATGCCTTTGCTAGAGATTTCCAGTTATGACTAAGCGGGTGTTAGAGGGTAATTTGGCAATGGTTTTACAGTTGTATTTTATAATGAACCATAGCATACTAATATAGACCAAACTGTTTAAACATCTTGGGAGACTTTAATTTATTCGGCTTAAGAGCTTAGTTGAAGGGAAAAAATAGCGGAAAGTAAGCTGTAGGATTGCTTTTCCTGAATTCTGAATTTCGCTTAAACATGTTTCTAATCCTCTTTGCCAGGAATATTTTCTTAAAAAATGCATTTAAATTGTATAATCTGATCACCTTTATTAATACAGAGATTTGAACAGACTTAAATATAGTAAGCAAAATATAGTAAGCATAAGTAAACATGCTTACTATATTTTACTGTGTTGGTTTTTAGGCTAGGTAATCCTGCAAATGATCAGTTAATTATATTCTGTTTGATTACCAAGGTACTTAACTTAAATCCAGGATGATCATAAAAGGTAAGTAAATCTTCAGTGACAATAATGGAGATTCCACACATGGTTGCATTTGAGAAGACAACAGGAACTGCATCACGTGTCTGGAGCCCGCACAGTGTAATTCCCATTACATTACGACAGGAATTAAAAAGGAATAGACTGTGGGAAGAGCAACACAAATTCACAGCCACTGTTTTGGGTCTGTATGATCCAAAGACAAATAGTATTCCTCACCAAACTGATTCTCTTATGAAAGTAGGTGAAAAACTTCCCATTTCCAGTTGTATAAATTGCCCCTCTCCCTTTTCAGTTTAGGCCCAGATGACCTCATATTACATATGGGTGTAAATGAAGTACTTTTTAATGAACTCCAGAAAAGGAAAACACTATGTGAAAACTCAAGGACGTGGTATCAATATAACTCAAATTCAAAAAGAAAACCAGCATATTTAGACTATCTCTGACATGCAGGACATACCATCTCATTTAATCCTCTTAACAGGCTTAAGAAGAGGGAATTATTATCTCTAGAGGTGGAAACTGTATCCAAGATATAATAGAATCTAGTTTGTCTGATTTCAAATTCTAGGTACTTTTGGTTGTTACATTTTGATAGCACTCTTTCAGGTGAGAAAGACAGAAACCAATACAAATTAGCTGAAGAAAAACAAGGAATTTATTGGATCATAAAACTGAAAAGTATAGAGATAATCTTACCCAGTGAACAAGCTCAGCTGCAGGCATGGTTGGATCTACAGGATAAAGTGAAATTCCTTCTCTCTATGTCTTAGTTCTGCTTTCCTCTTTGTTACAGTCTCCATCAGGCAGCTTCTCAGGAACTCCAGCTTCAATCCCATGGAAAAGAGATTCTCTTTCTAAGTTTGAATAGAAGTTTCAGTACTGAATCTCATTGTCCTGGCTTGGTCTAAGTAATCCAAATACATGCTAAAAACAATTTGAAAGAAAACCAAACCAAAGGGGTACCTGCTTCAGAAAATGTGAATTCTAACTATTTTTTAAATTTCCAACTTTTAAGTTAAGGGGTACATGTGCAGGATGTGCAGGTTTGTTACATAGATAAACACGTGCCATGGTGGTTTGCTGCACAGATCATCCCATTACCCAGGTATGAAGCCCAGCATCCATTAGCTATTCTTCCTGATCCTCTCCCTTGTCCCTCCCCCACCCTCTGACAGGACCCAGTTTGTGTTGTTCCCCTGCCATGTGCCCATGTGTTCTCATAATTTAGCTCCCACTTATAAATGAGAACACATGGTATTTGGTTATCTTTTCCTGCATTAGTTTGCTAAGGATAATGGCCTCCAGCTCCATCCATGTCCCTGCTAAAGAACATGATATCATTTCTTTTTATGGCTGCATAGTATTCCATGGTGTATGTGTACCACATATTTTCTTTATTCAGTCTATCATTGATGGTTGATTCCATGTTTTTCCTTTTGTGAATAGTGCTGCAATAAACATATATGTGCACGTGTCTTTTTAGTAGATGATTTATGTTCCTTTGGATATATACCCAGTAATGGGATTGCTGGGTCAAATGGTATTTGTGCCTGTAGGTCTTTGAGGAGTTGCCACACTGTCTTCCACAATGGTTGAACTAATTTTCACTCCCACCAATAGTGTAAAAGCGTTCCTTTCTCTCCATAACCTCACGAGCACCTGTTTCTTGACTTTTTTTATAATAGCCATTCTGACTGGTGCAAGATGTGATTTTAATTTGTGTTTCTCCAATGATCAGTGATGTTGAGCTTTTTTTTCATGTGTTTGTTGGTCACATGCATGTCTTCTTTTGAGAAGTGGCTGTTCATGTCCTTTGCCTACTTTTTAATGGGGTTGTTGGTTTTTATTTATACATTTGTTTAAGCTCCTTATAGATGCTGGATATTAGACCCTTGTCAGATGCACAGATTGCAAACATTTTCTCCCATTATGTAGGTTGTTTGTTTACTCTGTTTGATATGGTTTGGTTGTCTCCTCACCCAAATCTCTTGTTGTATTGTAGTTCTTATAATCGCCATGTGTTGTGGGAGGGATCTGGTGGGAGGTAATCGCGTCATGGGGGCAGTTGAGTGAGTTCTTATGAGGTCTGACAGTTTTATAAGGGGCCTTTCCCCTTTGCTTGGTATTTCTCCTTCTTGCTGCCACATGAAAAGGATGTGTTTGCTTCCCCTTCTGCCATGATTGTAAGTTTCCTGAGGCCTCCCCAGCCCTGTGGAACTGTGATTCAATTAAATCTCTTTCCTTTATAAATTACCCAGTCTCAGGTATTTCTTTATAGCAGCATGAGAATGGACTAATACATTATTGATAGCTTCTTTTCCTGTGCAAAAGCTCTTGAGCTTAATTAAATCCCATTTGTCAATTTTTGTTTTTGTTGCAATTGCTTTTGGGGTCTTTGTCATGAAGTCTTTGTCTGTGTCTATGTCCTGAATGGTATTGCCTGGTTTTCTTCTAGGGTTTTTATAGTTTTGGATTTTACATTAAAGTCTTGAATCCATCTTGAATTGGTTTTTGTATATGGTGTAATGAGGGGGTCCAGTTTCAGTTTTCTGCATATGGCTCACCAGTTCACTCACAGCACCATTTATTAAGTAGGGAATCCTTTCCCTATCACTTGTTTTTGTCAGGTTTGTTGAAGATGAGATGGTTATAGGTATGCCATCTTATTTCTGGGTTCTCTGTTCTGTTCCATTGATCTATGTGCCTGTTATTGTACCAATACTATGCTGTTTTGGTTACTGTAGCCCTGTAGCATGATGCCTCCACCTTTGTTCTTTCTGCTTGGGATTGCCTTGGCTATTTAGGCTCTTTTTTGGTTCTATATGAATTTTAAAATAGTTTCCTAATTCTGTGAAGAATGTCAATAGGAGTTTAATGGGAATAGAATTGAATCTGTAAATTGCTTTGGACAGTATGGCCATTGTCACAATATTGATTCTTCCTATCCATGAGCATGGGATGTTTTTCCATTTGTTTGTGTTCTTTCTGATTTTCTTGAGCTGTGGTTTGTAGTTCTCCTTGAAGAGGTCCTTCATTTCCCTTGTTAGCTGCATTCCTTGGTATTTTATTCTTTTTGTGGCAATTGTGAAGGGGAGTTCATTCATGATTTGGCTCTCAGCTTGCCTGTTGTTGGTCCGTAGGCATACTAGCAATTTTTGCACACTGATTTTGTATCCTGAGACTTTGCTGAGCTTGCTTATCAGCTTAAGAAGCTTTTAAGTTGAGACAATAGGGTTTTCTAGGTATAGGATCATGTCATCTGCAAACGGAAATAGTTTGACTTCTTCTCTTCTTATTGGAATACCTTTATTTCTTTCTCTTGCCTGATTGCCTTTGCCAGAACTATCAAAATAGGAGTGGTGAGAGAGGGCAATCTCTAGGCCTTCTTCCTAGGGGTATGTATGGACCTCCCTCTTTGCCTGAGTTGCAGCCACCTCTGTTGGGGATCCTGGGGTTGAAGTATGTGAAGCTCCCAGGTCTGTGTGTGCCTGAGTAGCTGCTCTGCCAAGACTCTACACAGCTCTGTGTGTTGGACCTAAGGCTCTGATGATATGAGCTCACAAGGGGTCTCCTGATCTGAGTGAGGGTTACAAAGACTGGGAGAAGTGTGGTTTCCCAGGGTGGTGTATTCACTCACTGCTTCTCTTGGCTAGGGGTGGGGGTTCCCTTAGCTCAGTGTTGCTCCTGGGTGGGCCATTGCCCCACACTGCTTTTCTTCATTCTCTATGGGTCAAGTTGTGTCCATGATCAGTCCCAATGTGTGTACCTGGATATTTAAGTTGAAGGTGCTGAATTCACTCGCCCCTTTTATTCTTCTCTGTGAGTGCCATGCACTGCAGTTGCTTCTAATTGGCTGTCTTGGTCCCCTTGAGTTCTAACTCTTAAGTCTTGTGTATATGTGTTAAAGATACAGACTGTGGAGTAACTGCATTACTTAGGAGATATTTTCATGTGGATAATAAAACAAGATAAGTATAGCAATTGGTGCTGATCATGGAGATTCCTGAAGTAAACAGATGGCCTTTACTTCTCTGCTTTCCAAAGGGTGTTAATTATATAATAAAGTCACACACACAGCTTCATTTGAATCTATATAATAGTGTATTTGATAGCATGCTTTTCTTAAACTATATTTGGAAGGCTGAAGAACTAATATTTATCAACTACCTACTTGTGTATAGGCAGTATATAGGTACTTTATATTCACTTTTATGATATAGCCACATGTAATATTTAAGTTTAGAATTTAAACTAATTAAAATTAAATTAAAATTAATTTATTTGGTCACACTAGCTATACTTCAAGTACTGAATTACCATGTGCCTATAATGAACAGTATAGATATAGAGCATTCCATCATTGTAGAAAATTCCACTGGACAGCTCTGCATGCCTATCTCAATTCTTTTTTCAGAATGAAATCTACAAATCTTAAGTCATATTAAATAACACCATGAAAAAAATCAGCCCAGCATGTGGTATTTTCTACAAAGAAACCCAAACTGATCTGAGATCTTATAAAAGTCAGTATCATGGGGGAAAAAAAGGTAGGCATAGAGAATATTGTTCTAGATTTAAAAAGACTTACTTAAAAGAACTAACAACCAAATGTAATAATTGATCCTGATCTGAATGGAAATAATTTTGTGAAAAATTTTTGTTTTAATGAAGAAACCTGAAAATGGACTAATAGATATTAGTAATACCATAGAGTTATTGTCAATTTTGCTGGGTGTGATAAAGGTATTGTGGTTTTGTAAAAGTATGTTTCAATTTTTTGGAGATCTACGCTGAAGCATTTAGAAGTAAAATATCTTCATATATTAAATTTACTTTAGAATGATATAATACAAATAGATGGTAAACCAACTATGGCATAATTGTGAAACCTAGGTGGTGGAAACTATTGTATTATTTTAAATTTTGATATACTTTGAAACTTCTAAAATCAATGAAAAGATTTAAAAAATATTTTTAAAAAATGGGTTTTACTTTTGGTGTCACACTTAGAAAATGTTTTCTCAAGCAAGAGTTTAAAAAGTAGTCACTGAGATTGTCTTCAAGTGTTCCTATGGGTCATTTACTTTAATACTTAAATCTTTTATCTCTGAAATTTGTTTTGGCGTAATGTATGAGATAAAGATGGTTTTTATGTTCAGGTAGTTAGATGGTAGTGAATATTTTCTGTTTGATTCTCTAAATTTATTTACCATTTTTCCTAGGAAAGCCCTTGCTTTTTCTCTACAGATCCATATTCTTCTGATTTTCTGGGGTGGTTTTGGATAATAACAGTAATAGAAAATTATAAGCCTGATATTCTTTAATTTACCCTTGGCTAAGAAATACATGAAGCAAAAACCATAGTGCTTGTTGGTAGTTTAATAGGAAATTGAAAGAATGAAAGTCTGTTGAGGCATGAGCAGACAAGCCCTGTGCTAGCCATTATTACATCCTGTTAAATAGGAAAAAGCTCAGACAGTACTAACATATCTGTTACCACAAAATGAAAGTTGAAGTATGTTTATTGCCTGTCTTACATCAAAAAGGAAAATTTGTATGCCTGTTTTATAAGAAGGGATCAGACAAGAATATAAAAAGCATTCCAGATGTTTTGAGTAGAGGATTTACTACAATGCGTCGTGTTAAAAGAATCAAGGGCTGAAGTGAGTCAGGGGTCTATCACTAACTAACTTTCAGGTGCAGCACCACAGAAAGTTAGTGAGCCTCTGTCTCCCAGAGTCGGGAGCTTGCAGGAAGCTCCTTATCTCGTGGTACTTTGTCCCCAAGATGGGTGGAATGGCAGGGGGCACAGAAGCCACTATAGAAACTCACATTTGGGAGACCCACGCTATGCCTTCTACTGCTGCCATAGAAAGAAGAGAAGTTATTTCTGCCTCGCTGCTGCCTTTCAAATATCATGTGAA